TTTGATGATAGACCCTACAATCTTCTGGTGTCGGGATTGTGTGCGTGTGTCGCTCTATCATCCTTTCGGTGACGGGTCTGTCATCCTTTTGGTGCCAGATTGTGCGAATATTCTCTATCAGCCTTTTGGTGATAGGCCTGGATTCTTTTTGTGTCGGGATTGTGTGCATGTGTCGCTCTATCATCCTTTTAGGGATGGGTCTATCATCCTTTTGGTACCGGATTATGCGAGTGTTCACTATCATCCTTTTCGTGAATGACCCTACATCCTTTTGGTGTCGGGATTGTGTGCATGTGTCACTCTATCATCCTTTTGGTGATATGCCTGTTATCATTTTTGTGCCAGATTGTGCGAGTGTCATCTATCTTCTTTTTATTGATAGGCCCTGCATCCTTTTGGTGTCAGGATTGTGTGCGTGTGTCGCTCTATCATCCTTTTGGTGATGGGTCTGTCATCCTTTTTGTGCTAGATTGTGCGAGTGTTCTCTATCATCCTTTTGGTGATCACTACAAGAAAATGTGTCAATACCCAGGGCCAAAAACCCTCGGTAACAAGAAAAAGTCGTGGGAAAAGTAAATTACCGAGGGCTTACCAACGACTATGGGGCCCTCGGTATTACGCTCCTTGGTAACGTCTACCGACGGCTATATAAACCCATGATATTATCTACGGCTAAACCGTGAATAGTTTGCGGGTAATAGGTGATCAAATATCAAATTTTTTGTCTTATATTATCCACGGTTAAGCCGTCAGTAAATTTACCGAGGGCTAAGCCATCTGTAAATTTACCGAGGGCTAAGCCTTCGATAAGTTACTCAATTTTTGGTATAACTTTACTGACGGTTAAGCCATCTGTAGTATTATAATTTTTTTAATCAAAAATACCAATATTTGATCAATAGACTTATTTTGTTAATATTTTCCCTATTTGAAGACAATATGAATATTTTTTCGTAACATCTTATAAATATTTTTTCATAACAACTTATTAATAAATAAAAACTCTTTTATGAATATTTTTTTATATTATAAATCTACAAAACTCTTTTTTTATCATGACCATAATTATATATAACAATTCAACAAACAAATCTCAAACAAAAACTCAAACCTTAATATCAATGAGATCTCAAAAAATATTTCATTCAACAAGTTTGATGTAAACAAGCTTAAACAAAACATAAAACATGTTCAATCAAAATATAATGTGATTGTCAAAGTATTCTCATGAGTAAAATTAAAGCATAATATGATCTTAAATGCTTCCAATAGAGTCATCATCACTGTCGGAGTCATCATCATAGTCTGAATAACGACGACGACGTTTCTCACCTTTGATAGAAGAGACACTTTCAGCTAATTCCCTCAATTTTCTTTCCAAATCTTGTGTGCGTTTATTTGCCTTGCGACATTCCTCTCGTGCAACTCGAGCATCTTCCTCTGCAACATTTGCTCTCTCTTCAATTGTTGTCATTTGTGCAGCAATCTCAGCAGAAACTTGACCGCTACATGTAGATACACGTGACTGTTGGGTTAACGAGGAAACACCTGGCTTGTAATGCTTAGACAAGTCACCAGCACCATAGAGACGCCCTCTAGTCTTTCCACCGGCAGCTCCAGCCCAAAAATTTAGCCGAGTTGCAGAATCAACTTCCTTAGGGCCACTATTTGATGTCTCTTCTACTTGAGAGGCGTGTTTTAGCTTCTCTTGAAATGTTTCCTGATAAAAAAATACTTAAAATTATATACATTACAATATTTTCATGATACGAACTAACAGAACAATAATCATTTAATTGTTTGTTGAAAGTAGCAAAAACAGGAATTTCGACCAAAATCTATGTTAATTTCTTTAACAATTGACATCTTTATTACATTAATTTGTAATTTGTGATACTCCTAAGGTTAACCATGGCTGTTTGTTTTAAGTAAGAACTAAAATTTTGTTTGTTTTTAGCATGACATGGGATAAGATAATTTTCTAATAATTTGTTTATTGTGACATGGGATAAGAATCCACTTCTTAAAAACAGGTATTGAATTGTGAGAAAAACTGGTATTGAATAAAGTAATCTTTTAATCATTTCCCCACTTACTCTTATTAATCCTACCATATATATGATCATGATCCATAATATATGTAACTAATAATTTTTTTTAACAAGAGGGTCTAAGTTCAAAAGAAAATATTAACACAACATATCTATGTAACTTGTCCTTTTCAAATAAATGGCATTAAAGATTTTATCCAAGCATACATCAAAATTTAGTAATTACACTTACATATGTCTTCTTTAATCTGTCGTCCACCCATGAGGAGTCCTTCTTTTTCGTATGAGTCCTTAAGAAGACTTCATCTAATGTGGGCTCTCTACCTAATTCCCGACGCTTATGCATTATAAAAAATTGATGTCAAATGTTAGGAAAAAATAAATTATGAGCTAAAGTTTAAGGAATCAAGTGTTTAAAATGAATGACATACCATTCGTATGATGTGCTCATTTGTGGATATGGAGCCACCCGTATGGACAGATCCATCCTTAGCAGATGCCCGATTTTTCTTATTCCTGGCAGCTTTGACCTTATACTCTGGTGTTTCCCATTTAATTTTGAGCCCTTTCCAAGCACCCTCTCCCATCCAAGATGGACGTTCTTGTTTCTTCCTTGCATCCATCAGAATCTCTGAGAGGCGCTTTGAGCCTTTGCTCTTAAAGATACTCTTGAGTTCAAACTCATCCTCAGGCCGCCAAGCAACTATTTTCTGCAACATTTTAATAATAGACAAATTAAGAAGCAACGGATTAGAAGACCAGGTCCAAACCTCAAAACCAGAAGAAAAAAAAAGCATAGCCCAAACAATAATCACATTCTAATTATAAAAGTTTTTTTGTTCTTTAAATTATTGATACTTAATTTGTCTGTATCCGGAATTGAACTAACAATCTATTATCAAATAGGCCATTGCATAATAGGTTTTGTTCTATTTATATTTGTTTTATTTTTTTTATTATTATTGCAGTTTAGTACATCTTGTGTCAATCCTCTATGCATTTATATATTAGGCTCTTTACCCTTTATTATTAATATATATTGTTTGTCTCTTAAAAAAAGTCTTAGCCCAATAGTTAAATGTTGGATTATTTGTGAAATTTCAAATACTTCTTTAAACCATTCCCGAAAATGTCTACACTAAAAGTACATATGTAAAAACAGATACTCCTATATAGCATAGAAATACCAAACAAGGAATTTTTCTTTCCCATTTCATAACTATTAGTAAAACCACCTGCACCAAAAGTTATACAATTCAACTCTCTACCAAAATTACTAACCTATTTAGTTATTATGTACAAATTAGAAGTACATAAATTAATAACTCTCTATCAATGACAGTAGAATAAAGTTGAAATAGTGGTGTCAAGAGTTGTTCGATACTTTGGTTTGGACAAGCAAATTAATAAAGTAGAATAAAGTACATAAATTAATAACTCTCTACAAAAATGACTAACATATTTAGTTATTATGTGTTAATCTTGTAATCTTGTTTGTGTGAAACTATAATAACTAGTTTACAAATGAAATTGGTTCGTTTACTAATGAAAGTACTTTTTTAATCTTATTACTTTATAGTTAAGTTAGCTATCCTAACTAAACAAATTATAAACAAATTAGAAGTACATAAATTAGCTATCCTATTTAGTTATTAATAACTCTCTATCAAAACTAAACAAATTATAAATAAATTAGAAGTACAGAAATTAGAAAAACTAAACAAATTAACAAACTTACCCCAAATTTCATGAACATCCTATTCACCCTTTTATCTGGTATCTCCCTCCACCTAATCCATGCCTTACGGAATTGTGACTCAATTACTTTGGTAAGGGCTCTCGAGGCCACCCTACACGGGTTCCACCTACATGCAAATTATAAACAAAATATTAAAATACATTATAGACACGTCAACATAAGTCATAAATTAACATAAAACAAATATGTACCCTCTCCCATATGGAAAAATATAGGGCCTCCCATCAGTTGTCTTATGAATCTCATGACAAGAGTGTCTTGATTCTTGCACCAGATCATCACTGGTTTGCACATGTAGCGAACTAGATTGAGTGTTTGGATCTGACATGTGTGAACCTTGAGCTGATGAGGAAGGATCTCTGATATGTAAAGATGTTTCTATTGCCTCATGTGGCCTAAAATCTGGAGTTGGCACCATAGTTATAGGTGGATCTTTTGGATTCTCATTGTCTTGTATCTCCGCATCCACTTGTCCAGAATCATGTTGTTCCACTTTCCACTTGTCTTTCATCTTGTTGCTCCACATCCATCTGCTCCACATCATGTTGTTCTAGTTCTAGATGCCTTGCATTATGTGCATTCTTGGCTGCTTGAGTCACCTTATGCGGCAAAACCATCTTCCTCTTCTGCTTTGGTGGGATCACCCTACCTTTTCCTTTTGGAGGCATCTGTAGAGAAAAAATAATATATATTAACTTTTAAATACTAAAAATAACAAAGAACTAAAATATACGCACTAGCAACAATTTTATGCGATTATAATGAAAAAAGTAGTCATTATATACACATTTTACGATGATTCACAAGTGAAAGTATCAAAAATATTTTAATGGTTTAATCTTGAATTGCAAAACAAGTTGCTCTAGCTATTTTCTTCAACTCACTTTTGGAAGGTGTTGAAGATATGGATAATATGGTGTTAGTAACTTCATCATCGATATTATTATCTTCCCTATAATCATTATCTGCACTAGCATTAATTTGCATGCTAGAAATTAATATAACATCAACTTCTTCATCACTATGTGTTTCATCGTGCAAGCCGGTTATGTCTTCAATTTCAGTTATCTGTTCAACGTGAGCCATCTCTTCATCTTGATAGGGTGTATCATCATCAATGTCAACAACCTCTATACACCTCTGGGCTTTGTCTTTATCACTGCACACCAACCACGTTTGTCTACACGCATTTATGGGTAAGGTACATAATACACTTGTTTGGCCTTTTGTGCAATTATGAATGGATCATAACGATCATATTTTTTGTTCATCTTGATATCTACAATATCATAATGAGGATGAACTTTTGTTCCTCTACCTCGTTTTGGATCAAACCATTGACAGTAAAACAAGGCTACTTTGTGAGATAATTCATGATACTCCAACTCAAAGATATGTTTAATGACTCCATAGAAATCATCTTCCCCACCTTCTGTAATCCCCTTCACATAAACCCCACTATTTATGGTCTTTTTACCTTGACTCCATGCTTGTGTGTGAAATTTGTACCCATTAATGAAGTATTTGTGCCAACTCATGGCATTTGATTCAGGACCCCAAGCTAATGATATTAGTTTTTTGTCTGTCACACCATTTCCCTCATTAGTGGCCTACACAAACATGAAATTCACAATAAAGATAAAGTGATTAATTTTTTTACAAGTTTGAATGACAACACTTACATACTCTCGAAACCATTCTGGGAATTCTCCATGTATAAGAGTTGAAGCTGAAGGATCCTCTTCATTGATGGACTTATTTTGCAAGAAAATACTGGCAATAAAGAGAGAATTGTTGTGATGTATGTATTGTAAATGTTTATTTTGTGTCTATCTTTGTTTCGTTACTTACTTAGTATATGGCTTAACCTCATTGCAATTAATGAGAATGTGTACATGAGCAGATCTCCATTCAGCATCAGTCAACCAATGTATTTGGGATTTTCCACTAGGACGTCCAAGAGGGTTGCTTATTGACAATGTTGGCACTACATCATCGTTCAGTCCTAACGCTTCATTACGTTTGCTTGTGGCAGATAAGGTGGCCGTTTTGAAATAGTGGGAACAAAAATATGTTGTCTCTCGATGTAAATACGACATACATATTGAGCCTTCCACTCTAGCCTTATTCTTCACTGACCGCTTAAAATCTCCCATCATTCTTAAAAAAATGAGTGTTAGATCTTCTATGAAATGTGAAAGATTTAAAATGAATAAATTAATAATTAGGAATGTATGCAAAATACCTTTCAAATGGATACATCCATCGATAGTGTACAGGACCACCAAGTTATGCCTCATAGGGAAGGTGAATTGAAAGATGCTCCATAGAATCAAAGAATCCTGGTGGAAATATTCTTTCAAGTTTGCATATGATGACTGGAATGTTATCACCTAATTTAATTAATTCATCTTTTCTTAAGGTATTGCTGCATAATCCCTTAAAGAATTGACTTAACTCTGTAAGTGGTTTCCATACAAGATCAGGCAATGAACTAAATGCAAATGGAAGTAAACACTCCATAAACACATGACAATCATGACTTTTCATTCCGTGCACTTTCCCTTTATTGACATCCACACATCTAGCCAAATTTGAAGCATATCCATCTGGCATCTTAAGCTCCTTTATCCATTTACAAACTTTTTTTGCCTCATCAGAAGAAAGACAGTAATTTGCCTTAGGTTTTGTCATCTTTCCATTGTCGTGTTTAATCAACTCTAAGTCACTACGTTAACAAATGATGGCCAAGTCCATTCTAGCTTTTTCATTGTCCTTTGTCTTGTTCTTAATATTCATGACTGTATTAAACACATTATCGAAGAAATTTTTCTCAATGTGCATCACGTCTAGATTGTGCCTTAATAAATTGTCTTTCCAATATGGAAGATCCCAAAATATGCTTAGTTTAGACCAATTATGGCTTTCTCCATATCCTTTTAATTTAGAAACTCGATTGTCTACAAGTTCCCAAAGATCACGAACCCAACGATATATTTCTTCTCCTGTCAATATAGAAGGTGGCTCTTCCTTCACAACTTTATTTTTTGTGAACCTTTTCTTACTTCTTCGAAAGGCATGATTACGTGGTAAGAACCTACGGTGACAATTAAACCACGAATTTTTTCCACCATATTCCAGTGTAAAAGCCTTATTTCCATCCATACACACTGGACATGCCAACTTGCCTTGAGTACTCCACCCTGATAACATACCGTAAGCTGGAAAGTCATTAATTATCCACATTAATGCTGCCTTCATTACAAAGTTTTGTTGAGTGGGGATATCATAAGTCAAAACCCCTTGATTCCACAAGTTCTGAAGCTCGTCTATTAATGGTTGTAAGTACACATCAATGTGAGCTTTTGGATTATGTGGTCCTGGTATGAGGCATGTTAAAAACATAAATGGTTTAGTCATGCACAATTCAGGGGGGAGATTATATGGTGTCACAATCACAGGCCAACAAGAATATGGGGATGAAGATGCCTGAATGTATGGTGTAAAACCATCAGAACATAAACCTAGCCTCACATTTCTTGGTTCATTCGCAAAGTCCGGATGTATCTCATCAAAATTCTTCCAAGATTTACCATCAGATGGATGACGTAAAACACATGAACTTGAATTATTATGATGATGCCATCTCATATCTTTTGCAGTTTCTATTGAGGCATACAATCTTTTTAACCTTGGAGTGATTGGTAAGTAGTGCATTCTCTTAACCGGAACGTCATTGTAATTACCCATCCCAGGCTTACGAGGAGCATATCGTGGTTCATGGCAAAACCTACACTCTCGATCTGCAATCGTATCTTTGTAGTACAACATGCACCCATTCACACAACAATCAATTTTCTGAGACTTCAAACCAAGCATGGACACCAACTTTTTTACTTGGTAGAAATTTTTTGGCAATGAATCCTTTGAAGGGCACACTTCTAGAAGCATGTTTGCAAAGAAATCAATACATTTTTGAGGTACATTCCAATTTGTTTTGCAAGCCATAAGCTTCACATATACTGAAAGTTTCGATTCAGAAGCACCCTCATATAATGGTTGGTTTGCAGAAGTTAGCAGATCATAAAATTCTTGAGCTTCCTTATTTGGTGGCTCTTCATGATTGTCTTCCATATTAACCTGTTCTCTATCAACCTCATATTCATCGACATTATCTTCATTAATCCCCCTTTCCTCACCAACCTCGTTCTCATTTCCCACATCCTCATTAACATTATATTCGTTATCGACATCCTTATCACCTTTGTTGCCCATACTTCAAAAATCATAATCAGGCCCTATTGCATCCTCGACCATATGTTGCATTAATTCAAAATGGTCTTCATTATCCACATGTCTACTACTAATTGGTACATTTGCTGAGTCAATACGTGGGGCTTTTTCACCGTGATCTGTCCAATACCAATAATTTGGTTGGAATCCATATTTATACAAGTGAAATCTAACGTCACCTTCGGACAATACCGGCACACACATGTACTTGTTACAAGGATATCTAATTCCACCATCACATTCAACATTAAGTTGCATTTTAGCCTTTTTAATGAACTCATCAACCCCGTTTACAAAGGTTAGTTTCAAACCCCCCCTATGAGGATAATGCCTATCATATACCCAACTACGTTCCGGAGGGTAACGATCCATATACAATCACTTACTTTATTGATGACTTGAAGCTATCTAGACAGAAGAAATAAATTAAAAAATCAGCAATCTTATAGATAAGTGCAGGATGATTTGTTAGGGAAACTATTTGTTGGAAGTTACTTTTCCAACTACTTATGTTTTGGTTAGAAAATTGCTATACAAATTTTCACTGATAACATGTTTCATCTAAAGAAACTTAACATAGTGGCCTCAAGGCAAATTTAGACCAACTGAAGCCGAAGAACAATAAAACTACATATCTCAGTTGCAACATATACATAATGAATTTAGACCAACAAAGGATTTAAAGAACAAATTTTTCTTAACCAAATTAAACACTGGTAAGAGCTGACTTGCAACATATTCAGAATGTAGGTGGATATATTCACCAATAGTTCATTATCTACCTTCGAACATTAATAATGTATATTTAGCAATGAAAATAGAATAATAAACAGAATAATAACATTTATATACTCTGTATCAAAAAATCAATTGAAGAAAGTCTCAAGAGTACCCAAAATTAACAACATCTAACAATAACAATATCAAAGACAACAACAAAACAAAGATTGATAATAATAACAAGAAATCGATAAATTAGAAAGAAAAGTTATAAAATTAGGGTTTTGAAAATAAAAAGAAAAAAATAAAGTCTAAGAAGTGAGAAGTGAACTTACCGTGAAGAATTAGGGTAGAAAACAATCGCGGTTGAGAGAAATTTGAAGGATGAAAGAAGTTTGAAGAACGAGGGTGCAAGCCGCTAGCAGAGAGAAGTCTGAAGGAGGGTTTGAACCGCTAGCTCACTTCTGCTTCTCCTTATCAAATATAATTTGTTTATCTTTGTCCTAAAAAAAATTATAATATAAATGTATCCAAATTGTTACAAACATTAACACTAATAATTTATCTTTATAATAAAAATTTTATACTTATTTTATAATTAGAATAAAAAACTATATTATTAATATATCCAAACTTATTAGTTTAAGTATAAGATTTTAAGTAATTTTTAGTTCCTTTTAAAAATATAATTAGTTTTTTTTTAATTTATATTAAAAAAAAATTATTGATTAATAGTATATATAAGTTTATAAGACTTTACCGAGGGTTTAACCGTGGGTAATTACCGACGGTGCAAAACCGTGGCTGCTTTCCATGGCTAAGCCGTGGATAATGTTTAAAAAAGATATAATTGATATTGTTTTAGGTACTCACGAATTACTGACGAATAAACCCTCTATACCAAAAAAATTATCGACGACTACATGGCCGTGGGTAATGATCCGTGGGTATATACAACTTTTCTTGTAGTGGATAGACCCTACATACATCTAGTGTCGAGATTGTATGCTTGTGTCACTCTATCATCCTTTTGGTGATAGGTCTGTCATCATTTAGGTGCCAGATTGTGCGAGTGTTCTCTATCAACCTTTTCGTGATAGGCCCTGCATCCTTTTGGTGTCAGGATTGTGTGCGTGTGTCGCTCTATCATCCTTTTGGTGATAGGTCTGTCATCCTTTTGGTGACAGATTGTGCGAGTGTTCTCTATCATCCTTTTGGTGATAGGCCTGCATCCTTTTGGTGTCGGGATTGTGTGCGTGTGTCGCTCTATCATCCTTTTGGTGCCAGATTGTGCGAGTGTTCTCTATCATCCTTTTGGTGATTGACCCTACATTTTTCTGGTGTCGGGATTGTGTGCGTGTGTCGCTCGATCATCCTTTCGGTGATGGGTCTGTCATGCTTTCGGTGATAGAGCCTACATCCTTTTAGTGTCGGGATTGTGTGCGTGTGTCACTCTATCATCCTTTTAGTGATTGGCCTGTATCCTTTGGGTGTCGGGATTGTGTGCGTGTGTCGCTCTATCATCCTTTCGGTGATGGGTCTGTCATCCTTTTGGTGGCAGATTGTGCGAATATTCTCTATCATCCTTTTGGTGATAGGCCTGGATCCTTTTGGTGTCGGGATTGTGTGTGTGTGTCACTCTATCATCCTTTTAGGGATGGGTCTATCATCCTTTTGGTGCCGTATTGTGCAAGTGTTCTCTATCATCCTTTTCGTGATAGACCCTACATCCTTTTGGTGTCGGGATTGTGTGCATGTGTCACTCTATCATCCTTTTGCTGATATGTCTGTTATCATTTTTGTGCCAGATTGTGCGAGTGTCCTCTATCTTCTTTATATTGATAGGCCCTGCATCCTTTTGGTGTCAGGATTGTGTGTGTGTGTAGCTCTATCATCCTTTTGGTGATGGTTCTGTCATCCTTTTGGTGCTAGATTGTGCGAGTGTTCTCTATCATCCTTTTGGTGATAGACCCTGCATACTTCTAGTGTCGGGATTGTATGCTTGTGTCACTCTATCATCCTTTTGGTGATAGGTCTGTCATCATTTAGGTGCAAGATTGTGCAAGTGTTCTCTATCATCCTTTTCGTGATAGGCCCTGCATCCTTTTGGTGTCAGGATTGTGTGTGTGTGTCGCTCTATCATCCTTTTGGTGATAGGTCTGTCATCATTTTGGTGACAGATTGCGCGAGTGTTCTCTATCATCCTTTTGGTGATAGGCCTGCATCCTTTTGGTGTCGGCATTGTGTGT